AAAAAAAATAATAATAATAAAATTAAAAATAAAACCCCGTCTAAGACCGAGCAGTGAGCAGACTTGCGGCTATAGCTTGTAACAAAATTGTTGCCGAAATTGTTGCTTCATCTAAAAAAAATTGAGGAGGTTTACAATTTGTCCAACTTTTAGCACATGATTACTGTAAAACTTGTATTGAATTAGTAATGATATATAGTATCTAGGAGTGACAGTGTAACCAGAGCATAGAGTTGAACCAGAGCACCCTTATACAAATATTATACCTAAATGTATTATTTAAGCAAACAATAAGCATTATTCATCATAAAACTTTGATCGCCATCGCCATGGCTAAACCAACTTTGAACCCCTCATTTTTAAAAATCCTCGCCCCGCACCTGATATAATACATTTTTAACGTTTGAGGAAAGCATAATATGTTTTTGTCTTTTCTGACAAATTTAAACTTTATTACGGCTTTGGCGACTTTGTGTATTGTCCAAACTGTCGTGGAAATCGTGAGTAGTGTTGTTCACAACTGCTGTTTTTTATAGCTCATCTAGGCAAACAATCACTTTGTTACACACGAACACATGTGTCCTCCCAATGAACAAGAGAACGGTACTGTGGTCTGTCAGTAATTATCAAGAGTCATAGGCGTGTACGCTTTTTTATCCATTTGGGCTGTGTGGTTTTAATATTTTGAATTGTTAACTCGCTGAATATCATATTGTGATGAAGATGAAGTCTAAGTTAAAACTGAAAATCTTTACTCACAAAAACATTGCACTGAAAGTATATAAGTATTTCACTTGTGAGAAAAATCGCGGTCGTCTAAATCGTTCACTTTCTGATCCATTTAGAAGAACTAAACATTTGCTTGATTTAAGTGACAGGACTTTGAACAGATGGATATCGGAGGAAAATGTAACCGAAGACGTCGAGGTGGCAGAGAGAGGCCGACCTGTTAAATTTGATACCTTTGACAGAGATCTCGTGGGACGCGCTATAGGAAAGATGTTAGGTGATAACCAGCACGTCACACTTAGAACACTTATTATGTCTTATTTGAAAAGCAATCACGATTTGGACATCAACAAACAGACCTTATGGCGCATTGTGAAGAGTCTAGGTTTCAGTTTCAAGAAGACTAAAACATCCAAAGACGTAATTTGTGAGTCAAAGAACATGGTTGCACTGAGGGGGAAAGTACCTACGAAAATTAAAACAGCTTAGAGAAGACAACGTTGACATTTATTTTCTTGATGAGTCCTACATCAATGCCCACCACACGTGCACCAAAGAATGGCAATCTGACAGACAACAGAGAGTCATTCCGACTGGCAAAGGTAAACGTCTTAGAATGGCGCATATTGGAAGCCATGAGAGAGGACTAGTGAAAAATTGTTAACTGGTTTTTGAGTCAAAGTCGAAAGATGAAAATGGCGACTATCACAAAGACATGCATAGTAACGAGTTTGAAAACTGGATTAGTAACACTGTGGTGCCTGCATTAGATAAAAAAAATCATGCCTGGTTATGGACAATGCATCATATCATAATGTAACTAATCCTGATGATAAAGTCCCTACAAAATCTATGAACAAAGGCCCTAAAATAGCCTGGCTTGATAAGCATGGGATCGACCATAGTACAGCGAAAACCAAAAAGGATCTCCCAGACAATGTGAACGCCAGCGAACAGAGCCAAATAGAAGTTTTTCGAGTAGACAAGTACCTGGAGGAACATGGTTACATACCTCTTAGGCTCCTTCTTTACCACCCTCAGCTTAACCCTATTGAAGCAATCTGGGCTGAGATGAAGAAAAAGGTTGCTTTTGCAAATACAACATAAGCTCCATGACGTTAAGCGACACACAAAGGAGGCCTTATCAAGTATAACCAGAGAATTTTGGCAAAAGTATGAGGGCCATGTCAAAGCAACAGAGGAAATATACTGGATAGATGATGGAATAAATTTCCCTACGCAACCTAGTGTAGTCATCAACTTGATTGACGATACATCTGATTCTGAATAATTGGTGAGTGTTAAAATATATTGAAATGTGTCCCGTAGATCTGTCACTATCTCTCTTTAGGTTTGTCTGTCTGTCTGTGTAACGATCAATGTCGCTTCCGATAATGGTTATGAAATTTGTTCAGAATTGGCGACGCCTATGAACATCTGAGAAACTAACAATTTGTTCAACTTTCAGCACGTGATTACTGTAAAACTTGTATTGGATTAGTAATGATACATCGTAATTAATTAACCAGCCACAATTTCGGAAAATTGATTGCATTTCTCAGTGGATGAGATAGATACAAAGCTCTTCTCAAAATATGAAGGTGATCGGTTGGGTAGTCTTTGAGATATCCTGCGTCAAACAACGGCAATATTTTTGTTACAATTACAAGCTATAGACTGTTGAGAGAAAAGACTCTACTCACCCGCTCATCCAGGGACCTCATGTCGCATGTCTTGATCTGTACTTGAGGCCTGGGTTCCTCTCCGGCCAGCTCAGCGTCGATCTCCTGCTCCATCTGTACCAGGGTCGGTGCCAGCATACCCAGCTTGGCCCCCACCTGGACACATGATACATAATAAATAATAATAAATAGCATTTGTATAGCACATGTCCCCACTCAAAAGTAAGCTCTATATGCGATTTACACTATATTATTACCCCAGCAGACCATAGAACCCTCAGAAATATTCTTAGCTTCCCGAGAAGCATACAGTGCAAGCAGCTGGTTAAGCACTCAAACACTAACAAACAGACAAGACCTTTCACTGTCTATAGCTGGGTACCCATTTTCACCTGGGTGAAGTGGGGAAAATTCATGTAAAGTGCCTTTCCCAAGGACACAACGTCGGGCCGCGGCTCGAACCCCGAGCCCGCAACCTCACGACTACGAGTCCGGTAGCCTAACCACTTGGACACGTTTTTTGTGTGGAGTAAAATGAAGTACATGGACACAATGGCAATCATTTAGTGCTGGTAAAAGCAAAACAGAGGGAAAGAAAAAAGTAGGACCTACCAGAGGTACCCCACTTGGGCACACGAACAGAGTTTGCTTGAGAATTAGGAGGATATGGATATAAATCCTTTAGCGCTGGCTGTGAATGATGGAACAATTACTAATTACATATAGCGTGATTTCTATGCAACAGGCCATTTCGCCACATGGGAAGTTGTTTTCAAGATGATAAAGATTTTCATCTAGAGATTTTGATATCATCCTAAAAAAGAATGGGTCTTATCGTAGCCGAAGGAAGAGATTCAAATGTTTCTGCAGTTAACATTTAAGTTTTGAACAATAAATCTCAATCACTGAAATACTTGGAGGAATATTTTTGTTTGAGGACAGAAACTAAGAGCTTTATGAACGATTTGCTTTTTCGAAATTTAATATGAGATCTGGTATAGTACTTTTCCCAACATAATCTACTTCTCTTTCTATCACCCCCCCCCCCCTCCTCCT